TTCTGTGACAACACTGGAGCTATTGCACTTGCCAAGGAGCCCAGGTTTCACAAGAAGACAAGGCACATCAAGCGTCGCTTCAACTCCATTCGTGAAAATGTTCAAGATGGAGACATAGAGATTTGTAAAGTACATACGGACCTGAATATAGCAGATCCGTTGACTAAACCTCTCCCTAGAGCAAAACATGATCAACACCAGAATTCTATGGGTGTTCGATTCGTCACAATGTAACTAGATTATTGACTCTAGTGCAAGTGGGAGACTGTTGGAAATATGCCCTAGAGGCAATAATAAAAGCATTATTATTATATTTCCGTGTTCATGATAATTGTCTTTATTCATGCTATAATTGTGTTATCCGGAAATCGTAATACATGTGTGAATAACAGACACCGACATGTCCCTAGTGAGCCTCTAGTTGACTAGCTCGTTGATCAACAGATAGTCATGGTTTCCTGACTATGGACACTGGATGTAATTGATAACGAGATCACATCATTGGGAGAATGATGTGATGGACAAGACCCAATCCTAAACATAGCACAAGATCGTATAGTTCGTTTGCTAGAGTTTTCCAATGTCAAGTATCTTTTCCTTAGACCATGAGATCGTGTAACTCCCGGATACCGTAGGAGTGCTTTGGGTATGCCAAACGTCACAACGTAACTGGGTGACTATAAAGGTAGACTATGGGTATCTCCGAAAGTGTCTGTTGGGTGACATGGATCAAGACCGGGATTTGTCACTCCGTATGACGGAGAGGTATCACTGGGCCCACTCGGTAATGCATCATCATAATGAGCTCAGAGTGACCAAGTGTCTGGTCACGGGATCATGCATTGCGGTACGAGTAAAGTGACTTGCCGGTAACGAGATTGAACGAGGTATTGGGATACCGACGATCGAATCTCGGGCAAGTAACATATCGATAGACAAAGGGAATTGCTTACGGGATTGATTAAATCCTCGACATCGTGGTTCATCCGATGAGATCATCGTGGAGCATGTGGGAGCCAACATGGGTATCCAGATCCCGCTGTTGGTTATTGACCGGAGAGTCGTCTCAGTCATGTCTGCTTGTCTCCCGAACCCGTAGGGTCTACACACTTAAGGTTCGGTGACGCTAGGGTTATGAAGATATGTATATGCAGAAACCCGAATGTTGTTCGGAGTCCCGGATGAGATCCCGGACGTCACGAGGAGTTCCGGAATGGTCCGGGGGTAAAGAATTATATATAGGAAGTGCTATTTCGGGCATCGGGACAAGTTTCGGGGTTATCGGTATTGTACCGGGACCACCGGAAGGGTCCCGGGGGTCCACCGGGTGGGGCCACCTGTCCCGGGGGGCCACATGGGCTGTAGGGGGTGCGCCTTGGCCTAGATGGGCCAAGGGCACCAGCCCCTATAGGCCCATGCGCCTAGGGTTTCCACCATGGAAGAGTCCATGTGGTGGAAGGCACCCCTAGGTGCCTTGGGGGGGAGGGAAACCTCCCCTTGGCCGCCGCCCCCCCTAGTAGATGCCATCTACTAGGGCCGGCGCCCCCCCTGGCACCCCTATATATAGTGGGGGGAGAGGAGGGATTTTACACCAGCCCCTGGCGCCTCCACCTTCCCCGTTACGTCTCTCCCTCGTAGTCTCGGCGAAGCCCTGCTGCTGTGACGCCCTGCATCCACCACCACGCCGTCGTGCTGCTGGATCTTCATCAACCTCTCCTTCCCCCCTTGCTGGATCAAGAAGGAGGAGACGTCTCCCGTCCCGTACGTGTGTTGAACGCGGAGGTGCCGTCCGTTCGGCGCTGGTCATCGGTGATTTGGATCACGTCGAGTACGACTACATCATCACCGTTCTTTTGAACGCTTCCGTGCGCGATCTACAAAGGTATGTAGATGCATCTAATCACTCGTTGCTAGATGAACTCCTAGATGATCTTGGTGTAACGAGTAGGAAAATTTTTGTTTTCTGCAACGTTCCCCATCAACAATGTGTCGAACACATCAAGCGCATGGCGGAGGCAGAGAGTTGTCGGATGTACCCCGGTGGCATCCGGGCCGGCGACGGCGTCCCCCACGGTGAGGACTGCTTTGCCGGAGCTGACGACACAGAGGCTAGGAACGGCTGCGGAGCGCGCGTAGCGGTAGAGCTGTGAGACACACGACGGGGAGGAGGAATAAGAGAGGAGATAGCAAATGGATCCAGCAGGTCTTGGGGTGGAGTGCAATTTACCGTAGGGTCAGCCTGTCAAGTCTGACGTGACGGGCGTGCCCGGGCGTTCCATATCTGCCGCATATTTGGGCTGGATATGAGGGGGTGCCGATCAGCCCGGGCGTTTGAGGCCCGTTTGAGGCACCTGTCTCGATCGAAATTTCGCGACCGGACAGTGATCATACGTATGAGACAGGTTTAAGGCGCCCGGTTGTAGATGCTCTAACACAGCAAAATACGCCATGTAACCTTGTAATATGAAACTGCTATGGCCGATGATGTCACGTGCCTATCTCTGAAGACTGAACCAATTTCTCCAACGGATTCATTCATGCACGAAAAGTAGGTGTATTGGCCGACCTCCATCACTATTGGCTAAGTAAACAGACGGCACCTGACGTACGTGTAGCTGACAGACTGTTGACCCACCCGTGTACATACAACCCTGATTAAAATGTTGTATTACAGAAGTTATTCCTTTTTCTTTATTGCCAATGCCAAAACCAGTTAGTAGATTTTATGGAGGTGTTTGGATTAGAGAGTGGTAACATCAATGGTAAAGGAATGAGATCACACTGGTAACAGGGATGTAATGGAGAAATCCTTTTTTTGTTTGGTTCATACCTGTAAAGGAATCTGGGGCGAAAAAGCAACCGAGGAAGGAGGGGAGGGGGGGTGGCGGTGGCGATGGCTACTAGGAGACAGGGCCGCACCCGGGGGAGGAGAAGGGTGACTCGCGGGCCATCGGACACGGGAAGAGCTGGCTCGAGCCTGGCGGCGCTGGGTTTTTTCAGGAGAGAGCAGAGGAACACTCGAGATTCAGAATCCCTAGATGAGATGCAGGTCGTCCCCGCCGGCGGGTGTGCCGCGGATGCGGTGGCGCCGGACCTGGAGAGGAGGGTCAAGGGGAGGCGAAAGGGACCAGGGAGGCGGCGACGCTGGTTTAGGTGGAGGGAGTCGTGGGAGGAGGTGCGGTAACAGAATCGTTTACAGGGGAGTGTGGGTGGTATCAATCCAGAGCTGGCCCAGAGTCATTAATGGAGGCAAGCGATTATAGTGTACACGTACCAAACATGCGTATCGCTTTCTGATTACATCGTAAACAGGTATCGGGGATTTCTCCCCGAAGCAAACACCTCCTATGAGGGGAGATCGTGTGACAGGGTAGATTACCCGAGGATGCCACCGTGTAGGATCTGAGGAACATTTTACGGATCTGGCTTGCCTGCTCTCTCTCCATGCTCCCATCTGTGCTCCCACTTCATCCCGTGATTGTCTTTTTTTTTCTTTCTAATCTAATCATCTCCCTTTGATTTTAAGGGAGTGGGCCTGAGCCTTATTTTATTTCAATTAAATCAAGCCACGTACACGAGAGCACGGATGGGCACACGCCGGAGAAGTAGGCAAGTCTCGTCCACATTCCACACCCTCGATCGACCGGACAAAGTTGTGGCTGAAATGTCAAAAGCATATGTGCTCTGAATCTCGCTAATGCTATTCATTTTCCGACGAATCGCAGAATTTTACGGTTCATTTCGGGTCGACGTTGCGAGGGCCCCACACGAAGAAACGGAAGCTCGGAACGGAAACCAGGGATTACTGAACCATCTGGCTCACCGTGTCACTACGACTAGTAGTGTGGCGTATTTGTTTTGGCCGGACGGCGCAACCGCGCACCTATATATGCACAGACACACACAGAGAAAGAGGGAGGCAGAGTCGCAACTCGCAACCCCACTAGCACAACGCCAACGTAAGCTTTGATCGCCCGCCGATGAAGAGCTTCCTGGTCCCTTCCGGCGACAAGGAAGAGGGGGCGGCGTTGGTGCCGCCTCAGGAGGACGGCGAGGCGCCGCGCAAGGTCGTCGTCGACGGCGGCAAAGCTGCTGACACGGCGGTTGAACGCTCGTCGCCGTCTTCGCCATCAACAGCGACGACGACGAAGAAGCCGTGGTGGAAGGCCTCGCTGCTGTCTCCGACGAAGGGCGCCGTGGGGCTGGTGATCGGCGGCCTCGTGCTCCTCGCGCTGCTCGCCGGCGCCAGATGGATCGACCTCGACGCCGTAAGTACACCCTACACCCCATCGAGTCAGACACACACGTGCGTGCGACTATCCATCTATTTCTTTTTTTTTTTGCGGGTGACTATCCATCTATTTCGATCGATCATTCTACTACTCCGTGCGCCGTTCCAAGGTCAGGACACACACATGCGTGCTAGGAGTCAGACACACACATGGAGTAGAATTAACCACGCGCGCAGTGAGCCGAGCTAATGGAACAGCAAATTAAATGGACTAATGGAGTGCATTGATACGTGAGGATATGATGAGATATTTTTTGGACCGGTTCCAAGGTCAAGCACACTCGTACTACTATTCCATACGCCGTCCGCGACGGGCAAACGGAATCACGCGCTAGGAGTCAAATCAGTACTCTCCATGGAGATCACTAGCTCGCTGGACCAATGAGCGCGCACCGGTTCCTATCAAAGGAAGCTTTCACGATGGACTTTGAGCATAGGAGCAGAAAAACAGACCATCTGTGTAGAAAAATCAATTCGTATTTTAGGCAGCGTCAACCTCGACCAGTGACGGGACAGAAGTGGTCGTTCCAAGTCGGCCTGTGATGGCAATAAGTGTATAGCTTTGAGCTCACGGTCGAGGAAAGTGCATCGCGGGATGCACGCGCATGATACCATAGTAGGAATACGCGTCAGCATATCAGTATTTTTCTTCTTTCTTAATTTTCCTTTTGCTTAGCTAACTTTTTTTTTTTGCGATGGTAAAAGAGTTTTATTCCAAAAGGGTAGGGTTACGCTTGAGAGACACCAACTCCTCAATACATGGTAGAACACTACGAAGCCATACAACAGTTGTACTTTCTGTACGGCTATACAATGCCAACCGATGTGCTACCCTATTCTGCTCACGCCTAATTTTTGTAGGAATAAACTCTCGAACACCCATGTGATGCCGAATCTCAGCTATTAAATGTCCATATGCCGACCTGGATAAGCTTTCTCCAGTCATTGCCCCAAGCGCCAGTGAAGAATCGGACTGCACCACGATCGGATTAGTGCAGTGCTGCAGGGCAAGAGCCATGCCTTGCATTATCGCATGTAATTCTGCCTCAAGAGCGTCGTTGCAATTGAATATGCATCTGTATGCCGCAAAGATCACGCTCCCGTCATGTCGTTGCAGTATCATACCCGCCGCCGCCGTGCCATCCGCATGCATGAACGCTCCGTCCACAGACAGAGCCGCTCGGCCAGGCGGCGGCCTCGGCCACGGCAAGGTAATGCACGGTGCAGGATCCACCGTGTCCGCTTCCTGAAGCATGGGCATCTTGCCCTTGATAACTTCTTCTGTGGAATAACGCCTGCAAATATTCAGCGAGTTCATATAACTCTGCAAAAAATTCAGCCGTAGTCGCTAGAGGAGACGACTCTTTCCCATGCCTTAAATCCGATCTTAGGTTCCAGATCCTCCATATTAACATGATTGTGCAGTCCCGCATCATGTCATCACAATTTGCCAGAACATTCAGCAGCCAGTCCTTCCCTGTGTCCCTTAACAAATCGTGGTGGGGCAGCCTCCATATATTTCTCATTTGTGTCCAGACTGCCCTTGCATGCATACATGACACCCGGGCATGAAAGCTAGTATCTTTCTCCCTTCCACAGATCGGGCAACTATCCTGTATAGATATATGTCTGAACTTTTTGCATTCGTTCGTTGCCAGCGCCCCCGACGCAGCTTTCCAGGCCATGATTTTCATTTTGAGAGGGACATTTGCACTCCAAATCCGCTGCCAAATCGGTCTGCGGCCTGATGGGTTCCCACTCGAAGAGCCTAAACCCACCGCATACTGAACTTCTGTTGCAAGGTGATAAGCACTCCGGACCGAAAATTGACCACTCCGCTCCGGGAACCAAGCAAGGAAATCCGGGCCATTCCGTGGTGAAGTACGGATCTTCAAAATCTCACGAACATCGAGTTCCCAAAAGTGTTCCCTCAACCTTTGTACATTCCATGCCCCGTGTTCATTCAAAAAGTCAGCCACCCAATTAAACTGGCAGTTCCTCTTTGGTGTGACCGGTCTAAAATTATGTCCTCTTGGGATCCAAGCATCCCTCCAAGTCTTGATTAAGGTACCATCGCCAACACGCCATATAATACCCTTCTTTAGAAGTTCCAGCCCATGAACAATACCTTTCCAGACCGCTGACGAGCTTGAGGAAAACACAGTGTCGAGTAAATTACTCCGTGGGTAATATTTAGCTCGCAATAAGCGAGCACAAAGGCTGTCCAGGCTGTCCAATAGGCGCCACGGTTGCTTGGCCAGCAGCGCTTGGTTGAACGCCCGCATATCCCGAAACCCCATGCCCCCCATAGTTTTTGGTAGCATCATTTTCTCCCAGCTTAGCCAAGCCATTTTCCTTTTACCGTTTTCCACACCCCACCAGTACTACCTCATCATCTTGGTAAGGTTGTCACATACTGATGCAGGTAACCGGAACACGCTCATGACATAAGTGGGGATTGCTTGAGCCACGGCCTTTATCAAGATCTCCTTGTTTCCAACTGACATGTATTGTTCACTCCAGTCAACTAGCCTCTTTCTTAGCCTTTCCTGTATCGTTTCAAACTGCCCCTTGTGCACTCTTCCCTCTGGCACAGGAAGGCCTAAATACTTTGGCTCGAACACGTGTTGTGTTATCTCCAGAATGCTCTTCACCTCTTCCGCCACCGGCTCATTGCAATTGTCCGAAAAAAAATGGAACACTTCTCGGGGTTAATGAGTTGACCCGTCGCCGAGGAATAAGTGTTCAACAGACCTTTTACAATATTTGCTTGTTCGCCTGAAGCTTCGAAAAACAGCATAGTGTCATCCGCAAACAGGAGGTGAGATATGATCGGCGCACCACGACAAATACTCACCCCCTTCAAATTCCCCTCGTCCACTGATTTAGAGATCAGGGCAGACAAGGCATCAGCAATAAATAGGAATAAAAACGAGGATAGTGGGTCACCTTGTCGAAGTCCCCTAGAAGGGGTAAACACCTCCAAAAGTTTCCCATTGAATTTTACCGAGTATCTTACTGATTTAACACATGTCATAATCCATGCTATCCACTGGTCCGAAAAACCCCATTTACCTAGGGCCTGTTCCAAGAATGCCCAATCAACACGCTCGTATGCCTTCGAAAGATCAAGTTTATAGCATAAGCCGCCCGACCATTATCCTTCAAGCTCTGAATGTGATGGATACACTCAAAAGCAATAATAGAGTTGTCCGAGATGAGGCGACCCGGAATAAATGCACTTTGGTTCACCGAAATCAGCTCCCCAAGCAGAGGTCAGAGTCGATTAACTAAGCACTTGGACACGATCTTATAAACAACATTGCATAGGCTAATTGGCCTAAAGTCCTTCAGCTCCTTAGGGTGAGGAACTTTAGGTATTAAAGCAATCGCTGTATCATTCACTCTGCAATTAACAGAGTCATACGAATAATGTTAAAAAAAGAATCATACGAATATATTTGCATATTAATTTTTTTTTGCGGGTGAATTTGCATATTAATTATAGCTACATATTTGTGCGATTGTAATCTCGAATAAATGTACCCTCCAATAGAAGATCCGGCCCGGCCATGGGCATGGAAACTGACAAAATATTCCGTTGCTTTGACTTTGCGAGCCATGACTTGGTTCTCTAGAACTGGAGCTGAGAAGGATGGAGAAGCCGCAATACGTAGTTTCTTTTCAAATACTACGGCAAAAAACATGGACCAAACGTCAGACCGCCGCGTGCCCATAGATTGCATTAGATGACCAAACGTAAGCGTAGTAATTCTGAATTAGGAGATCCAAGTGACGACATGCATAGTGAGGTGTCTAATTCTTCTTGGCAGCAAGTAAACTAAAGTCTCAGTCAAGTCAGCTGCATGCGTAATACGTGCCAGGCTGGCTAAGAATAAGAAGACACGTAGTAGAGTTCATGCGTGACCGTGCAAATTACTACTCTATATTCCGACATTGAGATCATCCGATCGCTAAGTCTCTTGACATGTGGAGTCGAGTGTTTGCAACATTTCGACATATCAATTCATGTTTAAGCTACTTCTTGTCTAAATTAACCACGCGTGCATGGAGAAACCCATCTAGGATTTTCTTATACGTTAATTATGCTAACTACTTCCTCCGTTCCTAAATATTTGTCTTTCTAAAGATCTCAACAAGTGACTACATACATAGCAAAATGAATGAATCTACACTGTAAAATATGTTTACGTACATCTGTATGTGATAGTCCATTTAAAATCTTTAAAAAGACAAATATTTAGAAACGGAGGGAGTAGTACTTTCTCCATTTCAAAATAAGTATCATTAATTTAGTGCAACTTTATACTAAATTAACTATACTTATTTTATGACGGAGAGAGTACTCGCTAAGTTTTGTGCGATCTAACTTCCATTTGTACCAGCCCACGTACGCATGGAAGTTCCACAAAATATGGTCCATTGTCTTGACTTTGTGATAAGAGTCCTGAGAGCGATGTAAACGATATATTGATGGCGAAATCAGCAAAAAGTTCCACCAAGTATATAATGAGTATACCTTTAACAGAAAACGTGTGTGGGGAGGGTGTACCTGCAAGTGCTAGGAAATTTCATAGCTGCGGTCAAAATCAGCTTCCCTTGAACCACCGCCACTTAAAACCGATGACCTGCTAGATCAATCCGGAAGTGATCGGCTATTAATCCTGGGCCCACATGCATGCTCCCCCACTTGCAAGACGAAGTGCCAAAAACAGCAGGCTGCAGGCCTTGACGGCCAATGTGTATACGTAAAGATGACCCCTGAATCCCTGATTAGTACGAGGAATGAGCAGACCAGGCAGCACAACGTACGGCACCAAAGGACTGGACGACGACGTGTTTAGCTCTACTTCACAGAAGATATTCCAGCAAGGTTCTGATTCTAGCTAGTGGCCAAGTGCACCGTGCGTAACATCATGCATTGCCTAACTACAGGAGGACACGTAGAATTCTTGCGTCCCGTGGAAACTGTTGCCTCTTTTCAGTCCATCGGCTGATGGCTAAGTTCTGCCGACTTACTGTAGCCGTCTGCACTTTGCAAGATACTGTATAACATAATCGGAGCATGCAAGCTCAAAAGCGAAGTAACTCTTAAGCACACCTAGCTAGTTAATTTGGTTACATATGAACTACTCCTAGATTAAGCAAATGAGTTCCGTAATGAATACAACAAGAATTCTTTTAAGATGGTCCCTCTTACCTCCCACGAGGTGAGAGAACTATTTAATCAGCCAGATCTGATGGCTCGCGAGGCGACGATCTTAAAAAAAAAAAAACGTTAGTCAACGCGTGACACTGCTCATATGAAATTTACATTTTTTGTGTGATAAAAATAGCACATCTGTTCACTATCCACGTATATTTCCTTTTGTAGCACAATAACATTTCACGCTCGAGAATGATATAATGTTAGGGAGCGTGACATGCAGAGAATAACATGAAAATTTTAGAGGAGATGTTCCCGTCGATGACAAGCTGCCTACGGTGACTTCGTAAATTTTAAGATGATATGCCGGCTCAGTCTTTCGAAGGTGCTCATAAGGATAGGTTGTGCGTGTGTGCGTTCATAGGGATGAGTGTATGCGCGTGTGTACGAGCGCTTTGTGTTCATACTGATGTTAAAAAACGAAAATGCTAACGCCCACACGTGTGGGCGTTAGCCAACTCGTCCACACGCCTCCATCACCGTCCAGTAACTTCTGCACGAATCTTGGCACAAATTAGCTGATTTTGTATGCCACGTAGGACAATTCGCGTGTGTGGTGTGTAAGAGAGGTCGCCCACACATTCATTTTACCACACGGAGGGGCCGGTGTGTGGGCGTTTAACAATTCACCCACACACCAGTTTTTCAGTCACGCACAAGGACTGGTGTGTGGTCGTTTGTCATCTCGCCCACACACCCGCCTCCTCTCCCACACCCAAGCTGCCAGTTGCCATGCGTTTTACAGCGTACATGGCAACTGCCCTAATATGATTGCAAGTAGATGACAACTCTCTCTTTTTTTTACCCGAACATGTCAGTTGTCATATGTTTTGCATGGTACATGGCAAACTGCCTTAGCATGCACGTAAGCAGATGGCAACTTTTTCTTTTTAAATGGCAACTGCCCTAGCGTGCTTGTGAGCACATGTCAACTCTCTCTTTTACCCGAACATGTTTTTTGCCATGCCTTTTTTTGTAGCGCTACATGGCAACTGCCTAGTGTTAGTTGATGGAAACTCCTAAAGTTTTGAAATCATGGCAACTGCAGTAGACCAGACCACACATGGCAACAGCTGTAGTTGTCCAAAAAA